GGCCCAAGCGGCCACACGAAAAGCAAAAGTGGGGTATGTTTTCGTACTGAATTTCATATGGATCTGTACTGCCCCTCCTTGCAGAATTGATCGAAATCCACCTCCTCAATGGTTTGGCTACGTCAAGTGTGACACGTGCTCGCAGGTAGCCGCCCCCATGATCAAAGTGAATCGAACTGGCTTCCTTGTCTATCTGCTTCGCAATTGCCTTGCACCATGCATCATCTCGCAGATTGAACGGAAGATTGGCAACGCGTGCCCAAACTTTCAGTTTGTCGAACTTGAGCTCCGATGGGCACATGCAGTCGTCAAATTCTGACAGAAGAACCGCGTTCTTACTGATATGCCATGGGGATCCTTCCCATACGCGATCTCTGTCTCGCTTCGTTGCAAAATCGGCAACGAACGTGTTTTCCCCTACCATGCGGAAGGATAGACCTTTAGGGTTACCCCATGCAGGTCAAAGTGCGTTCGTGATGGTCTGGATATGCAATGTGTTGCGGTGCAAGATCTTCCCTGCAACCATCCACTTCTCTGGTGCCCCCTCGACGCGATCATCGAGCACCAGGGGCGTCGCCTCTTCCTCAGAGATATCAAGTTTCCCAAGCTGTTCCTCCAGGCGCGCCCTAGCAGTCCCGGGCGACATCGTCGCCCCCGTAGCCCCGCCGCCGCTCCCGGAGGGTGTCGCCATCCTCCCGTCCGGCGGAACTCCGGTGCGCCCCGCCGATCCGATCTGCGTGCGCCGCAAGTCCGCCAAACCCTAATCGCCAGAGTGTTTTAGGGTTTCCGGAAAAACCTAACAACCACCTTTTCGCACGGCTCCTCCTCCTCTGCTCACTCGTCATCATGTCACATCTCATCATTAGACTGCCTCGTTTCGTAAATCGAGTCTCAAGGCGAGCCAACCCATGCACTTTACACGCCGCAAAACACACAACCAAATCTAGATTCTTACAGTCTTCATACTCTATGGAAGTTCGTCTGACGCTCTCCCATATTGTTTTCTGTGATCAATGACAAAAAAAATATTTTTTTTCTTCGAGAAAACTTTTGATCTATTCGTCAACTTTTAGGACAATGCAACGAATATCAAAAATAAAAATTACATCCAGGTTCGTAGACACCTAACAACGACTACAATCACTAAAGCGAGCCAAAGGCATGTTGCCGTCATCACCCTCCTTCATCTGAGCTGAGCAGACCTTGTTGTAGATAGTAGGAAAATCGTCATGCTAAAACTTCATAGGACCAGCGCACCAGAACAACAACTGTCGCCGACAAAGAGAAGCGTAGATCGGAAGAATATAACCTGCAGACACCTGGACACAAACGAACAAACACCGGAACTAATCGGATCCACCGAAGACAAATGCTAACAGAATCCTATGAGATCTGTTGGAGACACACCTTCACACGCCCTCAGATGAGGCTAGACACACACATCCACGAGATCCGCCGAAGACGCGTGTGATGGCTGCGGCCGGCGTCGTCTTGTCCCGGCAGTGGGTGCAGGCGGCACCCCAGCGGATCCAGATCCGGTTACCTCGTGTGCGCGACAGCCCGGTCTTGCATGCGGCGATTAGGCTCTGGGAGGGCACCGATGGGAGGTTCTCGTCCCTCTAGTGCCATGGTCGTAGTGGTGAGGTGTCGTTATGCACTGCTGCGGTCGGGGGGAGATGGGTTGTGGGCGGGCCAACAACCGATTCGTGCATTGGAGACGCGATGCGTTGTAGGGTCGTGTTGCTCTTGGCGGACTTATCGGGTGGCGCTCTCGTTGCGCATTGTGATGGCCACTTGAAGATATTTTGCAGGGTTCCTTTCTCTTGATCCGGTGGCTGCTGCTGATGGCTCATACTAATGACATTGTGAGATGTATCCGGAAGCTTTCTTTGTGAGTTTTGATGGCTCTTGCTCCAACTTATGAATGATGGCTTGAGGCAGAGGGCAAGATTGTGCAGCGGCGGGCATGAGATTTCTTTTCAGTGTATGTAGTTGTTGGGATCGATTGAAGAAAAGTGATAGTGACAACACATGCTTGAGTTTGATTTGGTGGTGCTTCTCGAGTACCTGGTCTCGAGCTCCGTGGTGAAAACCTAGGTTTGACCTGAGTTGGTTATACTTGACAATGACGGTGTTTTTTGCATCGCTACCTTGTTGAAGACATTTCTCGGATATACTCAGACATATTCTTCAGGGTGAAAACCCAAAATCTAGCCTTTGGTTGTTGGATCCAGTGATGGCGGCTCATGAGCGTTGTTCCCTTCATGAAGATGTTGCTGTTGAAGATTTTGTTGTCCTAGTGATATCAAAAGATGATTGATGCTGATAAATTATGACCGAATTTGAATGAACTTCGTCATGTTTGATTAAATTTTGTCTGGTTTATTTGAATAAGCTTTGAGATGTATGCGGCTAGCTTTGGACTAGTCCGTGCACAAAAGCAGGCAACATCTTAGGCCAACTCCACCGCGCGACGCCAAACGGACGTCCGTTTTGTCCGGATTTTGTCCGTTTGGGTAGGGCGATGGGGCCGTGTCCGGGCGTGTCCTGGGATGCGGTGGCCGTGCGCCCAGCGCGCGGCCACATCCGTTTGCCCCATCCTGTCCGTGTCTATTAAAAAAAAGAGCAACGTTTCAACATAGTCACATAGATGTCATCGTCTTCATGCCACGAGTCACCATGGTCGTAGTCAGCACGGTCGTCGGCCTCTTCATCAGGGACGTACTGGGCGCCGCCGTCCTAACTTTGGGTCTCGTCGGGGTCGTAGGCACGGCCCTGCCCAGCCTTGAAGATCACGTCCTCCATGAACTGGTTGTAGAAGGGGTCGTCGACCGGTGGTGTTGGTGTTGGCATTCCGTCAAACAAGACGCGGGGGGACGGCCGTGAACGGTGCCCGTGCTTGCTTTCTTTGCATCTCGACGGACGGCCGACCGCCGCTGCTAGACCCAAGCGTGACGTTGAGATCGATGACGGCCGAGGGGCGCGGTGTGGACGGCGCGAGCATGCCAACGTCCGGTGACCCCCCGAAACGGGTCTGGCCGTCGTGCCTTGGCGGAGGAAAGCCGGGCGACAAGGGCGTGGTCCGCGACTGGCAATGCGGAGGCCGGGCGACCGACGACCCTGTGCTCACCGGACCGACGGCCCCTCCAGAGAAACCGGCCGGACGACAAATGCCAGCCATGAGAAGGGCGTGCGCTTTGCTGACGATGGTCTTCTTCTCCTCGACCTCGGCCTTGTGCCGCGCGGCCTCAATCGCAGCGCGGTCGGCCGCTCTCTTGGCCGCGGCGATGTTGTCCTTGGCGACTGCCCTCCGGCCCCTCCTTTTCGCCAATTTCGCGTCCAACTTGGCGATCTCCTCCGGCGTGCACTCCGACTGTGGCTTCCTTGGCGCCTTGCCCTTCTTCTTGGCCATTCCGGGCGGGTCAACGGCCAGCCCGCCGGAGTTCGGCTGGGCGTCGGCCATGGACGGGGGAGGGAGTGGGACGGACGGGACGTGGGAAGGTTTTGGGGGGGGGGGGATGGCGCCAAAGGGGCCGCAGGGAGGTTTTGGTTTGTGTCACCGACAGGCGGGCCAGGGGCGGACACGCGCGCGCGTCCCGCCCGTCCGCGCGCTGTCCGTTTCACCCTAGAACCGACGCAAACTTGGGCGGGGATGGGTCGAAAGCGGATATAAAACGGACAAAAGTCCGTTTGCTCCCGCGCGCTGGGCTGTCCTGTTTGTCCCTTTTACCCAAACGGACGGAGCCGGACAGGATGGGTCGTGCGGTGGAGTTGGCCTTAGCATCTACTCCCACCAGCTTTTGTGCTACATAGTTATCCCCTCCCACCAGCACGTCACAATCACCTCCATGTCTATGACTCACCCACAAGTCCTGCTTGAGCGCCTCGCACCCCAGCGGCGACGGCAAGCCAGGCCAGGAGGTTGGCCATGATGACCCCTCGCTCTGGTGAGCTTGAGCCTGCCTGTGGCGTGTCGTGGGCTCGTGGCTCATTGGATCCGGGCAGAATGGGAAAAAAATGGGGCGACCAGTTCTCTTTTTAGGAGAAAAGTACGCAGGATTCGAGATACACTCCCGTTCAAAAAAAAAAAAAAAGATACACTGGATGCGTGCCCCGTTGCTCGAGAGATCCAGAGTGCCGCAGTTCTCAGATCTGGGGTGGACAAGTTGGGCCTCGTTAATTAAGGTGGTTTTCAGGACTCATTTTGGTGGCAATAATCCTACACCTACAGGCAATCAACAGGAAGTTACGGACCTCCCTTCTCTTCTAATCATACCTCCGCCCCCTGATTTTTAGGGGTGGACCGGTGCCTCCCAAATTGACCAATGAAAGAATGCCTCGTCACCCTGTAAACCACTCTCCCCCGTAATTTCCTGTAGATGTAGCATTACTGTGTTTCTTTTTTGAAACAAAAACCTCCGTGTTTCTAGCGCAGGCGGTGGCGACACCCATGGATGCTGCCTGCTTTTTGAAGACGTTGTCGTGGATCTCGTCCCTGTGTCAGGGCTCCTCGTGAAAACCTTTTTCTGTTCTTGGACTCGGCAGCAGTGACGCTTCGTGTCGTCACCCTCTTGGGGGTGTTGTCATAGAGCTCAAGGGTCTTTTGTCGGGCCTCTGCGGGGTGTTATGCTTGTTTTAGACTCATGTTGTATCTTTCGATCTGCTTTGTAAAAGGATTTCCCTATCATATTGTATTGTTCGACCGTGTACATTCGTTCGTTGCTTTATTTATAAAAGTGGGGCGAAAGCCTGTTTGAGAGCGCTGTGTACTTATAATCTTTCGATAGAGTTTCACTCAGGACATGCACAAAACTGTAAATCGGAAGTTGCACTTCATTACAGAAACATCTTTGAGAATGACATGGTGTAACTAATACACTCCTGTATACTATAATGATATGTATGGTCGTGTTTGGAGATTAAGGAAAACACTGGAGTGAACCTGGGGTTTCATGAGTAAATCACAGGAATAGTAACAATCCGATAGGCTAACCGAGAAGTCAGCTTGCAATCGCTGTGAAAACTCCCACGGGGTCCAGAGTGGCGACTGAGTAGCTGACCCGCACGATGCGGAAGGCGACTTTGCAGAAACGCCTGAACCCGCCGGACCGCCTGGGCGCATTCTGCAGCGTTGCCAGCTCCCCTGTCGTGGTGGAGGTCCCCTGCACGACGTGACCGTCGCTGGAGTAGCTCGCCTCCATCAAGCACACCACGTGAACGTACGCAAGCTGACCGTCGTCGTCCTGGAATCGGTATGCCATGTACTTGCCGAGGTACCCATCCTTCCCGCACAACCCGCAGTTATGGCCGGCGGCCTGGTGGAGTTCGAGTTCATGCTCCTCGACGCGCACGCGCTTCGGCAGGAATGCGCACATAGGGTGGAGGTCGAGGTCGTGCTCGCGGTTGTGGTACAGGAAGCCGCACACCGGGTCGCCGCAGACATCGCAGATCGGAATAACACCGCCTGGGTTGTTCGCGCTCGCCGGGCGGCTCTGGAAAAGGGTGAGCGCACGGCCCTCGAACATAGAGGGCTCGACGCGCGTGGGCGATTGAGCGCAGCATATGTGGAGGTCGAAGTCGCATTGCTCGCACCGGAATCTGAGCTCGTCGCCGATCTGCCTGCAGCCGTCGCACTGGAACAGCTTGTCCATGGCTACCAGCTTAAGCCCGTGCTCATGCGTGGAGTGGGAAAGCGTTGCCCGAACGTCATGTCCAGTGAATGTAACCATGCTACTGTAAGCTTCTCAGCTCCGGAGAACTTTCGTAGCTGCTTTTCGTCTTGCACCTTTCGCTCTATTTATCAGCAAAGCAAGGGATGCAATAACGTGTATGTACTGTACAGTACAACCCGCGGTGGACTTGACTCTAGCTAGTCAGTCTCCTCCTCTCCTGCTTCCTGGAAATGTTGCGGGCCTTGTCTAAAACAGAAAATTCTGGCAAGTACCGCAAGTGGACTGGCACAAATTGTGTTGGATCCAGTGAACCATCGTCTTCTTGAAATTTTCCACGACGACTTCAACGAGTTCATGAAATTTTCCACAACGACTTTATTGTCTTCCGTTTTTTAGCATTAACGCAAGTGGACTGGCACAAGTTGTATTGGATCAAGTGAACCATCGTCTTGTTGAAATTTTCGACGACGAATTCTTCTTTCGTTGGTTAATTGGATGATATATGTCCAGTTGTCCCAAGTTGAACCAAGTTGAACCTTTTCTAAATAGAGAACACACGGTATATATGTGCCCAGCGTCACTCTTTGGGAAATTTTTGTCTGGTTGTCCACTTGCACGTAATGAAATGTAGAATTATTGAAACTGAGAGCCAAGTTGGGTGCAAGTGTTGTTGTTTTTTTGTGTGTGTAGGCCTGGTGATTCCTACTAGTTTGATTAAGCCTTCGTTCTCAACTGAGAGAAATATTTTGCTACTGTACGATATCACCATTCCTCTTTAGGGCAAAATCTAACAACTCCTACAGGAGTAGCAAAGGAATTTATGGTGCCGTTGCCGGGTATCATTTTCTATCAAGTTAGGTGCCTTCACACAAACTTCTTATTTACTTATTTCATATCTTGCCTAGTTATGCTATCTTCATCTTTGACCCACCATACTGAACAAAAAATAAATATATACATATCCTTCTCCACTAGATGGAATTTCAAAAATTCTAGTCATGATAAACCAGTATCTAGTGATAAAAATGCTATTGATATATGCTCTTTGAAAGAAAAGATGAAGTTGAATGCGTTTCTTTACCTTTATGAAGTTTTTTTTTGAAAATCGTGAATCTGAAAATTCTTATAAAGTGCTAAAAGAAGAATCTTATAAAGTGATTGATATAATTCATTGAATGAAAATCATGATTGCAATGATGAATTCTATGGACATCAATTGTGCTAATGATATGCAAAACTATGACCATCATATTTTTTGTTCCCCTACTAATAAAGAAGTTATGAAAGAAAAATAGGACTGGGATAAACATGGTGATCTTTATTATTCAAGTGATGAAAATGACACACTTAATGAAAATATTGCTTTTCATTGTGACACTATGTCTGTAAGCACCGTTGATGATGATTTTGCTACGCTTACTACTTATTACAATGATCATGATTGGGGTGATAATTATGATACTTTTTTGTTCTTAAAAAATTATTTGAGCCCCGTGATGAGTATGTTATTAATAATAATGCTTGCAATAGTACAGAAAGTGGGTTTGGTGTCAACTTTAGGTAGTAATGATGCCACTATTTTGAAGAGTATTCAATCTTATGATTTTTTTGATAAAAGTGGGTTTGAAGAGGTCATGACTTTAGTTGATGTTAATCCCACTATCCCGGAAGATTATACAATTTGTATGTATCGGGATTTGTGTTGTATGATAGTTATATTATTAAGTTTAATTATGATCCTACATTTAATTATCATGAGAGAGGAAACTATTGTTATAGAAATCTTTGTGTTACTAAAGTACCTCTCTTTATGTTAAAGTTGTCAATGTTTCATTGGCCTATTTGCTTATACAAGGTATTGCTTTTCTTGATAATTTATTTTTGTAAAAAGTTTCTATGCATAGGAAGTGAGTTAGACTTAAATGTGGTACTTACATGTTTTTTGATGCTCTCTTTGTGCATCAATTCTTGTATTTCATGTGAGTAACATTAAAATTTAAAGCCTATCTTGCTTGATATAAATAAAGAGCTTGTTGGGAGACAACCACTAGTAGAAAACGACCCATTTGTCCCGGTTCCAGAGGCCCTTTAGCCCCGGTTCTGGAACCAGGACTAAAGGGTTAGGACTAAAGCCCAAAACCTTTAGTCCCGGTTGG